TATAATGAGTAAAAGCTTCTTGGCCAGAAGAGGTGATATTTAAAACATGCAGCTTAAGATGTTTTTCTATGCTTTGGTGCCATTTTGGTGTTTTGGTGTTCAAATGTTCCAATTCTTGTTGGCGAAGCAATTTGTTCAAGTGCCAAAGAAAATGACAGCCGAGTCTCACAGAAATAATAATGAGCACGAGGTCTTAACATCACGTTGAGTGGAGGTGGCATGTAATATGTTAGAATTACAGCCCACAGAAAGCAACAGGCTCTCCTCTATTGTCTTGGTTACCAAGGCAGCATATTATATCACGATCAACATCGTGGACTGACTCACCAAATACTCACAACTTACCTTTAGAGAGAAAACAACACATTAAGTAGGAATGCATTTCTTTTTCCCCATGAATCAAATGGATTTTGAAATAAAAGATAACAAGTGTTATCCTGCAGTAACTCGCTGTACCTCAGTGTTACGCCGTGGCACTCATTCAGAACCACATGAATAGAAGCGCTATACAGCTCGCCAGAAATTCAAAGCCTTAGTTGAATGTCTGCTGTCTCTGCACAGCTGAAACATATTTGCTTTTGTCTTAGTAAGAGGATTAAGTCTTTCAAATCAGAAGACAGACCCAAACAAAGTCACAAGAAATTGGTGCTGATGTGAAAACAGACATCCAAGTATTTTTCTGATTTATACAGTAGTGTCGTTAAAAGTGTGACTTGATTTTGATGTGACAGCTGCCCCAAATATGTCATGATTTTTGAGTCCACAGATCTCTATTGGTTGGAGACAAATTTAAAGAAAGAAGGTTAATCATAAGTTGTTTAGATCATCGTTACCTAATGATTAGTCTAAGCAGGGCACAAGATTATAAGATCAAAAAGCCTCTTTTGTGACTCCCTGCTACAAATGGTTTCATTTAACCATTTATAATCAGGATAAAAGATTTATGTCATTTTCAAGAGTTCACATGTTTCCTCTGGCAACACATACTGCATGACATTTTTCTAAGTGGAAAGAATGATTCGATTTCACATTGGATTATATTGGAAATCTGCTTCGGCCAAGCTCAGGATGAGCAATTATCTGCAACTGTTCTTCGCCTTTTATAAATAAACCAACTTTTCCACTTCAGGCAAAAGAAAAATATTTTTTGCGCAACTGAGCTTTTTAATCAGTTACATGAAGGAGAAGGTTTGGAAGTTGAAACTCATTATTTCTTTGAATTCTGGCAAAAAATCCTGTTGTGTAATCACATAGAAGCATACTCTAGACTGTCACCTTGAAGTCACACTTCTACAAAACAAAAGTTAGCTCTACCTGAGCCTGTAAGCCATCCAAATTGCTTTTTATGGTTACTTGTTTTATTTTTCTTTCTTTCTTACTTGCTTGTTTGTTTGCTTGCTGGCATGCTTCCTTGTGTTCTCCTTGCTTTCAATTTAAAAGAGACCAGTAGGATAGCTCGCTTGGCATCTCCTGCCAGGCAGTTCCACAGCTGAGGGGCCTAGTAGGCAAAGGCCCGGTAACCTTTCATGACCTTTCCAGAACCTTTATTCATGAACCTTTAACAGAGCACTGCCAGAGGACCTCAGGAGCCAGACTATTCTCAGTACAAACTACTGTTAGCCAGTGAAGGGCAACAGGGAGGGATTGGTATGTTGTGGTTGCTTCTCTTTCTGTGGTTTTAAAGCTAGGCAACATCAGCTGTAGCCTCTGGAGCAGAGTACAGTGCATTACAATATTCAATTCTATAGGCAATAAAAGCATTGATGACCTTTTTAGAACAGAAAGGAAGGAAACAATCTAATCCTGGTTAGCTGTCTCGGTCGTACAAAGCATGACTGAACCACTTTAATCATTTGTGTAACAAAACATAAATCAGGACCTTTCTGAGCATAATTGATAACGGTTCATGTCTATTAATTACATCAACATAGGTTAAAGTTATTGGTTCAGTGTCTGGCAGATACCTAAAATCCATCCACATAGGTGGTTATTCACATTGCATTGAAGCTGACAGTTGTTTGCTGGGGAATATTCCAGGATCGTTGTTGTGATTTCATTATTAGTTATTATTAATAGTAGTGTTATTCTCTTTAGACCTATCTTCCTCAACCCCAACTGGTGGCAACGGATGGCTGCGCCTGCATGGTTCTGTCAGAGATATACTGTATTCCTTCTCATCTGAGGTTTTCTGGGTGTTATTGTAGGGTCTTTACCTTATAAGTTGAAGTAACTTGTTATGATTTTACACTACATAAATAAAACTGAACTGATTTGAATTGACTGAACTGCTGAATTGCTTTCATAGGTCATCCTCAAATGTATTTGCTATCAGGTCGTAGGTCAGTCAGGATGGTCTAATGAAGCGTATCCTGCACTCTCACTGATAGTTGCTTCACTTGCATCTAAGTTGAGAAATGTTTATCTCATTGTTTTGTTTGTTTGTTTTTGTTTGTTTTTGCTTTTTTGAAGTTGTTACATTTTATTGTCTTTCTGTGGTCTCCGGTCGCCGCATTCCTCCAAAATGCTTCCTGTGTGGATGCAGCGTTGTTATGGTTGTTTGAGAAGGGCTTGAAAATAATGTGAACTCAAATGATATGGGCCTTGAGGGGAGGCATGCGTTGTTATCCAATTATAATGGCTACATTAGGATGTAGTCTAATCATAAATGTATCCATTTACACTAATATGTAGACAAGAGTGAACAAGGTTTCACTTGGGACCTATATTGTATTTTGCCCCTGGGAATGGCTGCATTACACCAAGACAGAGAGTAAGCACTGAAGGATAGAAGCATATGTTAATAAACTGCTGCTTAACAAAATCTTTTACACCTGGTAAGCTCACTTTATTAAAACGGTTTTGGGTGGTCCTCGTACATTATTATGTTATTTTCCCCTTTATGTCTTAAACCACTGAGGAGTTTACCTGCAGACAAAGAAGTACATGGGGGAATGTAGGTTCTTGTTCTTCACTATGGCTGTGATGACTAAAATGTTCTCCAGCAGTGAGATGATACCCAGGATCAGAAAGACCTTAGGAGAGGAGATCAAAAGACCAGTGAAGAGACAGTCGGGGTAGTGGTAGCCAAGAAGAAATCACGAGATAAATAAATGAATCCAAAGTGCTACACGCAGCCATACAGACCTCGATAGCGATGTGGACCTGCTCGCATGCTGCAGGTTTGGAGGTGCTAGCCTTCTCTGATAGTGGAGGGATCAGGGTGTAGTTTTGATGATAATAGGAGTAGCCCCAGGTAGAGTTATCCAGCAGCACCTCCTCTTGGTAGGAGGATTCATTAGACACATTCATCTCTGCTGTGGGTCGGGTCTGGATCATCGCAACTCTTATCTGGAGGCCATTTTTCAAGCAGGCTGAAAGAAGAAACAAGAAGAAGAACGTGAGACTGTGTCATGCTTCATGTAAGCTTTGTAATATTGAGATCGTGCTTAATATTATGCCAGCTTCAATTACACATGCTGCAAACAAACATGATTCACCCCAAGCACCTTGTTTATTTAACAACATACAAATAGTGTTCGGTTCCTTGCAAATGTAACTCCTGTGTGTGGTCCTGGTTTGGTAAAATGGTAAATGGCCTGTATTTGTATAGCGCTTTACTAGTCCCTAAGGACCCCAAAGCGCTTTACACAACCAGTCATCAACCCATTCACACACTGGGCCTCCATTAACATCCTTTTCTAAAGCTTGGTGCTGATCAGATAATCAAAAGTGGTTTTAGTACTGCCTGCTTCAGCAAAAAAAATGGTGCTAGGAAAGTTCCATAAAACCAAGACAGTGAGACAAGGCAGAGTAAGTGTTTACATTTTGTATTGCACTGCAAATAGAAGTACATTAAACACAAACTAAAACCAGATGACTGCTTTAGGCTTGACTTAGTTTTGATTTGGAGAACAGGAAGCAGCCTCACTTGTATAAAAAAAGAAGAAGAAACCCTCGCTAATTTGTGTAATCTGACATGTCGTAGCTTTACAGGTTATGTGGTGGACTGATTCTTGGCCGGGTCTTGTGTGTTAAACTGGTAAACTCACAAGATACAGCTACTGGTTTGCAGATTTTCCCGCCTTTGCCACAATCACCAAAAGATGGTTTTTAAATTAGTTCCCGACTTTCTTTAGGGAGCTGAAATTTAGTCATAACAAATTTCATTGGCATTTGTTTTGAACGTTTCTCTTTCCTAATAAATTAAACTGTTGCAGTGACCTGACATCACACTCTCAAGTTAGAGGGCACATAAGAAAGCTTCACTGTTAAGAGTCACTAATATGACGAATCAGACGAAAAAAACCCAAAAACCAACTGTTAAATCCTTCATGCAGCTTAGTGATTCCTCTGTTTCTTAACACATGACCTCATAACTGGACCCTGCGGTTATGTCAAATGACGCGCCTTTGGTTGCTATAAATTTGCACACATTGTTAGTACGTTTAGATACCGAATGGGAACTGAGAAAAGCACCAATATCAAAATAAAACTGTTCAAGTGAAGTGAAGCAATAAACTAAATTCAGCATTATGTCCACTCTGTCTCATTTCAGCAGAACGCCATTATCTAAATCCTTTTCCAAAGTGGCGCATTGAGCTTAGCAGGTACAGCAATTAACCACTACTGCAGCGCTAAATGAAAAAGCTACACTGAGAATCAACAAGACATTTAAATTCTATCCATGTACTTTATCTGCAGGAAAAAAATTAATTATGTCAGCACTATTACGTTTTTCCAGCACCAATTAACACAACAGTTATCTTAAGCAATTCAAATATAAGACGGAGCCATTTAAAATCAAGAGTATAATTTATGCTCACACATTACATTTAACCTTTTGAAGTGCTTACAACAACTAGAGCAACTTTAGATATATTGGCAGGTGAAGTCATTACCATCGATCATCTTGTTGTAATGCACTTCTTGGCTGGGTTCTCACGTGGATGTCACATTGACACACACTGGCCACGTGTCTGTAAAGTTGTTACAGAGTGAGCAACCTTCACCCAGCAGGCAGCAGACCTACCCAGCAGGAATATGGTGCTGTGCAGAAGTCCTGAGCCACCTCTCATTTCACATGCAAACATATGTGGCGTTAAATAAGGCAAAAACTGAGTTTGCACAATTGTGACAAGCACCAAAGTCAATATTTGGCATGACTTCCTCAATTCCCCAACATAGGGTGAACTCTTAGGCAAGCTTTCATGTTGTTTCTAGGATTTTTAGGATCCCCAACACCACTGGCTGAAACCCCAAACCATCACAGAGCCTCCACCATGTTTTAAAGATGTCTATAGACACTCACGCCTCTCTCTTGAAGTCCTCTCCTTCCTTACAGACAAAATTCCACTGAGACCCTTTCTGATGAGTCTTAGACAAACAGATCCTGTGTCAGATACAGTTTATCTACTGCAGATAGTCACTTTGTCCTTTTTCCTCCACGTTTACAGTTTTCTCTGCTTTTGTTAAGTACACACTGTTGTTTTCCGATTTTTGGGAATCATATTGTTGGTGCAAAACTACTCTGGACTTGACTGGACTAAAAATAAGTGAAAAAGAAGCCAATGCTCAAAGAAAGACCTTCATAAAACCTGGAGAACAATTGCTCAAATCTGCTTTAGAGAATTATGAGAAAGTCGATTCAGGGACAGAGGACCACAGAAAGATCAAGCTGTTGACCCTGGCCTGCAGTCTAATTGGGCTGCCAAAAGATGTGCTGGAATAATACTGATCCATGGACCTCCAATCTCCCTGTCATATGGATATGCTGCCAACAAGTGCTGCCAGAAACCACAAAGGTCCTGTGACCTGTACCCTTGTGGCTCAAAGCTGTTTGGCAACATAAAATGGATCTAAACAATATGAGGCAGGTGGCTATATATTTGAATATTTTCTATGACGTGTCTTCTCACACTGGTTTAATGATTTGGCACATATAAATACTTTTAAATATCTCTCACAACATTTACCAGATATATGGAAACTGATGACTCTTTAACGAGCTTTGCCTATTTCTGTTTCTAATGCTCAAAGAAGGAAGATTAATTATTTCAGCTAGCAAAGGAGATGAAAGTGTTTTCTGAAAACTAGAAACTGATGCTTTGAAAAAAAATAAATAAATAAAAAAATCATTAGCAAGCTCGTGAAAGATCCGTTGTTTATTTGCTGGCTCTTATGAAAAACTGAAATTTTATTTCAAATATTTTTCTGTTTGAGACCGAGCTAGACATGAACACAGAGCACAGCAGAGAATTCAATCACATTTGTGCTTGGATTACTAAACAGGCCTCAGGTACAGCCCCTGGGCACAGTCCCAGGCCTCAAAGGAGTCAGAGGGCTGCTTAAATAGAGAGTCTTTTTAAAAAGACACTTTTTTAGGTACACCTTGCTTGTACCGGTTTAGAAGCCTTTTGCATATCAGAACTGTGTTAATTATGCATAAATTGAACGAGGATTATGCAGTTGCTGCACATCCTTGAAGCAAATCTCCCAATTCACAACATCCCAAAGGTGCTCTGTTGCATCTGGTGACTGTGGAGTTTGAGTAATGTGAACTCATTGTCATCTTCAAGAAAACAGTTTGAGGTGATTTAAGCTCTGTGACATGGTGCATCATCCTGCTGGAAACAGCCTTCAGAGGTTGGTTCCACCGTTCGGTTGGGTTTTGGCTTTTAAATGATGCTTAGTGTGTACTGAGGGGCCCAAAGTATGCCAACAATCCCCCACGCAATTAACCCACCAGCAGCAGCCTGAACCACTGATATGAGACAGAATGGATCCATTCTTCAAGTTGTTTATGCCAGATTCTGATTCTAGCATCCAAATGTCACAGTAGAAATCGAGATTCATCAAACCAGGCAACATTTTTCCAATCTTCTGTTCCAATTTTGGTGGGCCCATATGAATTGTACCCTCAGTTTCCTGTTCTTAGCTAATAGGAGTGCTAACAGCTAAGTCAGCTACTGGCACCAATATGCTTCCTGGTTTGGCATGTTGTCCGTTATGTGATGCTCTTCTTCATACCATGGTTGTAAGAAGTGCGTATTTGAGTTACTGTTTCTTTCCTGTCAGCTCAGTTTTTAAATCTTTTTGAGAATTGCCATTCACCGTGAACCCTCGAGATGGATGTCCAGGAAAATCTCAGCAGGTACCTGCAACCATGGCACATTTAATTTCACAGTAAATCTTTATTCTGATGCTCATTTTGAACTTCAGCAGTTCATCTCGAAGATATATACAGTTGCTCCGATGTGGTTGTCTGGTTTTATGTTTGAATTAACAAACAGTTCAATACGTGTACCTAACAAATAGTTGGTGAATCTTTTAATGGCAACCTGAAAAATAAGGCAAAGACAGAAGTGTCAAAATCTGCAGTTCCTTGATTGGCCATTGGAGGCGGGCTCTAAATCCAAATGTCTAAAAAGGATCACAGTGTTCGAGGTTTTATTTAAAAACATGTTCATTCAGGGCTTAAAATTAGGCATGCTTTGACTCATGTTGGGAAAACATGTGACCTGCTGGGCCTTACCTAGACTAACTCAAATCACTGAAACGAAGCGCTGCATCGTAATTGTGGTGTAGTGCTGATGACTTTTGTAGAATCTTATTGATTCAATTCAATTCAATTCAATTCAATTCAATTTCTTTATTGTCCCACAAGGGGAAATTAGTTTAGCAGCAGGATAAAAAAATAAACAGAACAATACTATAAAATAATAATAATATAAAATAATAATAACAATAATAATGATAGAAAGTTCAAGGACAATTATTTGCCATTAAGGAGACAAGACGCAGTAGGGATAAAAGAGACCTGGAGTCTTTTAGTCCTCCTCAGAGAATTATCTGATAAATGATATGGCTTGCTCTCAGTTACTTCGTTAGTCTCTAACTAGCACTAGTTAGCAGTAATATATGAACCTTAACCAAACAGCTTAACAAGAAACAAACTGGAGACAAAGTCATGTACTCTGTACTTTCAGAATCCACATATAAACATGCTCCAGATAGCAGTCACGCCTGCTGCTGCAACCTGACTGGGGAAAACGAGGAGAATGGGCTGACCGAACAACGTCAGGACTTGCAGTTCAGTTTTTCAAGTGGGTATTCAAACGACAGCTATCTTAAGCTGATTATTGATGAGATGCAATAGCTGTGATGGAAAAATATAATTTATGTTGGAATTATTTAGAAAATGTCACAGTAATCAATAAACTATCAGCCACAATGGGTTGACTGCAGAACACAAAGATAAAACTGACCTCAGAACCACAAAGCTTATTTCAGGCATGACCCAGGTGAGTTTCATAAAATGTAAACATGTGTACAATATCCCACCTGTAACTTCTACAACTACAAAAACCTCAAC